TCATAGCTTAATCAAATAAAGTGTATTAAATGCTACTTCTTGAGGGGACTAATCCCACTGTTTCATCAACTGTCGGTTCTTTTCATTTCTTCCATGAGACAGAGAGATTCATCTCATGAGCATTTTCCTATCAAATCTCTTTAAAAATAACTAAATTTTTTTTTAGAATAAAATAGCTACAAAAACATTTTGCCCTTAATACCTTTCCCATGCCACTAAGTATTACCTGCAGGACCACAAGATACAGTGAAGGTGAAGACAAAGATCATAAAAATGCAAAGTATCTTCATTATTGGTGGAAATACTGGAACAGAGTTGGAGCAAAACTCTAATGTCTTCAATAAAAAATGAACTCTAGTTTTTATAGCCTTTTCAGGGTGATTATAATTCTGCAGAATGCTGCCTTTCCAGATTGAGCACATATTCCTCTTAGTATTGTGAAACAGACAAAAGTATAATAGAAGGACTAGTCACATTGCAGTTTCCATGAGCTATATATGAAATCTTTTTCATTTCCAGGACAAAATGGACCAAAACTATTCTCAGTTACTATCTAACTGAAAGCACAATTAATATCAGTGATATATTCAAAAATGTTTTCTTGAGCATTTATTGTGTGCCAGGCTCTGTTCTGATCACTTCCAGTCGTTTAACCAGTATATTCTTGTGACAAATTCTGTAACATTGAAGGATCATGTAGTTATTGCTGACTCTGAATGCTAGGTAGCATGTTGGCTCAATTTTATGGCACCAGCATCCTGTATGGATATGTGTTCTTTACCATGCTGTTTTACTTTCCATCCAGCTTTCTGTTTGTGGCCAGAAAGCAGCAGAACAAGGTGTGATTCTGGGGATACTTCATCAGCATGGTAGACCTAGAGAATGCTCCCTGTCTCCTGGCTTTTGATCAACTCAGCTCTGGCCGTTGCAGCAACTTGGGAAGTGAACCAACAGATACAAAATCTTTCTCTCCTCTCTGTAAATCCACTTTTACAATAAAAATAAACATAAAAGATAAAAACAAAAGCTGAGAGTTAATCTTTGATCATATGGTAACAAAGTTCATCATCGCAATCACCATTCTCACCACACCCAAATCTGCCTAATTGGTTTCTATTGTATGAAGCAATAATCTGTATATATGAAATAAGTCGGATGTTGCTTCTGGTTGATTAGTTTGCTGCAAATGGAAACAACTCTATAACAAGTTACTTATTCTGTTGCATTAAATGTTATGATTATTGGGCCCTTTGCAATTCTTTTACTTGCACATACTGCAATTCCATAAACTTGTTGGTTCATGCCCCTGCTGATACACTTTTCATCCAGCTCTTTGCCTGTTTCAAAGACAGATAACAGAGAATGGCCAAACATCATGGGACTCAGCACCTCTGTGGGAGACCTGGAGGCAGCTCCTGGCTCCTGCCTTGGCATCAGCTCAGTCCAGTCATTGCCATTGCTTGGGTGTGAACCACTGGATGAAAGATTTTACTTTATATCTCTTACCCACTCTGTAGGTATGCCTTTCCAATAAAAACACATTAAATATTTTCAAGAGTTATTTATTGTCACCCTATAATAGAAATTACATTCTGGGAGATGTGGTGGTAAGGCTTTGGACACTTAGTTTCTGTACCAGAGTTCCTGCTTGAATCCTGTTATGCTTATAACCCAACTCCCTGCTATTGTGCCTGGGAAGGCAGTAGCATGGAACTCAAGCACCTGTGTCCCTGCGAATCACATCAGAGACCTAGAAGGATCCGATAATTTTTGATTCAGGACTGGTCACCTCCAGTGCTGCAGATTTGGGAAATGAACAAAACGTAGGGAGAGTTCTTTCTTCTACTTCTGTCTCTTCTTACTTCTACTTCTGTCTCTTCTTACTTCTATGTCTGTTTTTCAAATTAATAAAAGAACTGATTTTAAGGGACTAATTAGCTTCCATTCTTTACATGCCATATTATCAACCATGAGATTCGATCATTCCTGGCAGAAAAGCAGCGTATGTAAAGATAAATTATTTTTGATAGAGAAAATAAAATTTGATAAATCTTGGGATCTGAATCAAGAAAATTTAATGTTTATAAGCCAGTCATTTTACTGGTATATGGTGAGATGCGAACTAAATTAGACCATTGCAGAGCCTTCACTGTAAAACATTAGGATCACACAAGAAAAACATGGGACAGTTCTTGCAACAAAAAGGAATCTATCATAATTATCCAAGATAATAAGATTGAAAGCCTCATCAACAGAATAAATGCGGCAGAGGAAAGGATCTCTGAAACAGAAGACACACAAAATGAAGGTGCCCAGCGAATTAAACAGCTGGAGACAGATGTTGAGAAGAAAATTTGCATGAAGAAGCAATAAGAAAGAAGACATAGAAAAAAGGAGAGTGAGACAAGAGGTAGATTGCTTTGGAGAGGGAGCTCTGATGTCTCATTTAAAAAAAAAAAAAAAAACTTCCTGAAGTTTGTTGTGAATCAGTCTTTTTTGGAATGTGAATGTTAAAATGTTCAGGTTTTAATATAATATATATGGAATGCATTTGAGGTGATCCGCCTCCTTCAAGTTCCCTGATGATGCACCTGAGCGTGTAAACGTTCCTCGTTTGTGAAGCACACAGCATGCAGAGCCAGCGTTCATTGTCTAAGTAGGCTGTGCTGACAACGTCAAAGGGCGTTGTGGCAGTGACTACTGTTGTTTCATCAGTCTTCCCTATCTGCGTTTGCTGTGGTTGAACTTGGGAAAAAATGTAGAGACACATGAAGGGCATTTTACAGAGGAGACAGACTTAGGAGGAGAAAGAGTTCTCTTCAGGTATGTTCCCAGCAAAATGGGAACAAAATGCTGAATAAGAGAATGCAATATAGAAACAGAGCTGCTGGTATAAATCAACCTGAGTGGCTTTCAGTAAACATTGTAGTTGATGTTATTGATAAAAGGTAAAGATTCAAGGATTAGCATTTCCTCTTAATAATTTCCTTTTGAATGGTTTTTTGTTGATATTATTATTAACATGTTTTGATACAGTTCCACAGGTCCTGCAATTTCCCTTATCCCACCCAAATGCTCTCCCCTCTCACTGGGTTCCACTATATATTTACTATGGTATAGTTCTTCATAAACAGTCATATGTCCATCATTGCCAGCATGGACAATGGCAGAGAGTCCAACATCATGTTGTCAAGATATTGTCAAGAATTTTCTCTTAATCTTAAACCCACCTATTACTGCTTGCAATATTTCTTAATCTTAATGTTCCTAGTTCCAACTAAGGCAATATTCCACTGACTTAGTCATGTTTTTCATGATTCTAATTCATTAGCTCTTTATTTATTTGCATCATGTGTGGTAACCGAAAAAGAACTACCTGGGTCTCCTTACATAACATATAAGAAAAATTCCAATTCATGTGTTAAAATTACTTGAAGAAATAAGATAAATGTCAGAAATATGGATTTTCATGGTAGGTGGACTTCCATAAAATGAAAAACAATGAGATTGTAAGCATGAAGCTCTGCAGAATTCAGTATATATTCATGCATTGCCTACAGCCTGGTTTTCCAGATCTTAGAACTCCATTGAAACTACATGTTATTGAAAAGAACTATAATTGATGACTTCTTTATTATGCTACTTTAAATAATAAAGACATATTGCATGCTATTATACAAGGTTGGTTAGTTTTCAACAACATTAAGTTAACGATTCCCTAGAAGTACATTCTGTATCTCCAGGTTTCATTTAGCAGATGTTATTAATGCGCTGAATGAAGTTGAAATAATAGACTTCCCCATTCCATTCAGAAATAAATAAGAAAATGTAGGGAGAGTTATTGTAAGTCTGTCCTTTAGCATAAGTAAAGCATTTATATAATTCAGTTCCTGTAAGATAGCGTTTTGTTACTATTCCTTTCTTAATGAGTGTATCCATAGGAAGGAGCAAAGACTATATCCAATCTCCACTTGCAATAAACTAATGATAATCTTTAAAAAATTAATACATTCATGAATATTTTCATCAATGAAATTTCTAATGGTGTGGCCTGCACCATGGCTCAATAGGCTAATCAACCACCATCTTCAAGTCAGGGTAACCTATAAATGCAAGGGTTCAAGTCGCCATTGCCCACTTCTGATGCTTGCTTATGCAGCGTTAAAGCAGTGGAGTTTTGTGCAATGTCTTAGAAGCTTGTGCCCACATAGAAGACTTAGAAGAGATTCCTAACTTCTGCCTGACGTTGTATCAGCTCAAACTGCAGCTGTTGGGGCTATTTGGGGAGTGAGCCAGTGGATGGGTGATCCTTCTGCCTCCTCTTGTCTGTGTAAAATCTGCATTTCAAATATAAAGCTATAGAAAATGTTCTAATGAAATTATGAATGGGAAGTAGCCTCGCACGTTGTAGACTAGTGCCTAAAGTCTTTGACTTGCATGCACCAGGATCCTATATGGACACTGGTTTGTGTCCCGTTAGCCCTATTTCCCATCCAGCTCCCTGCTTGCAGAGCAGAAAAGAAGTAGATGATGGCCCAAATCTTTGGGACCCTGCTTTGTGTGGGAGACCCCAAGAAAGCTCCAGGCTCCTGGCTTCGGTTTGGCTCAGCTCCAGCCATTGTGGTCACTGGCGGAGTGAACCAATGGATGGAAGATCTTCCATTCCATCTCTCCTCCTCTATGCATATCTGACTTAATAATACAAAATGAAATACAATTTTAAAAAATAATCATTAATTTGAGAAATATACAATTTTGTAAGCTTAAGTTGAACCTTAATCATGTTGGGAATATTTAGTGCAGACATATATCTGAAAAAAATAACGCTTTAGCTTTAATCCCTACTTTTTTCACTTTATATGTGGCTAAATTAATATCTTTAAAGAAAGATAGACCCATTGGTTTACATGTTTGTTTATTTCATAGACTTTAAAAATAATCTCAAAATTTCTGTATAGGTGCACAAATTCTTTATTCAAAAGGATATCTTCTTTTCAATATTAATCTTCAAATGATAACCTTCCAACACAGCAAATCTTGCTTTGTGTGGGACATATGTCAACCTGCTTTTCACGCAAGAGACATTTTCTCCTACACAAACCTTTCCATCTTGTGCAACGATCAGCTTCCACAAAAGAACATGAGGCTATAGTAAAAAAGAATAACTGAAATTACTTATCTTTTATTTGAGCATATATAACTTTTGACAATAATAATATATATAAACATCATACTAAATTTAAAAGCTACTGTAAGATATGAACACACCATAAACATTCTAGAATCAGAGGTATTTGTAAGATTGAAACATTTTAAATAATATTTGATAAAAAGTTGGCAAGACATTTTTCTTTCCAAGAAGATTCAAGATTACTTTTAATTTCCTTGGAATTACATAATTTGTTTATTCTTTTAGATACTTTTGGATAATCAGTTCCTATTCAATATTATATTAGTTTAGATATGACTAATATGAATTATATTAATACATCTTAATGATGGCTTAAACATGTTGAATTCTAGGAATGTAACTTATTCTGCCACTGACAATCCATATAATTTTCACTCAAATAAAATTATTTCATTGTTTCATTGTTATTTTGATTTTTATGTTTTCAGTTATTTATCTTCGATAGCTCTTTCTTCTATTGTTCATGAATCTGTTGATTATTTTGGCAATGCTTTTTGATTGTTAGTAATTGTAAGATATTTATATATTATTCCATCTATTATATTTAATACAAATAATTTTTATTAATTTATGTTTTTGCTAGTCATAGTTTTTAGGCAATAGTAATTTTAGTTTAAGACAAATACATATTTATGTTCCAAAATGTTAAAGTTCTTCTAGTTCAGACATAAATACACAAAATAGTTTGCAAGTTGTTCAAATTATTCCACATTCACAGTATGATATTCTATCACAAACTCTTTTGTCGTAACGTTTACTGACTAAAATTTTTCTCTGGAAATTAATTGTTAGGTTCAGAACATAGATGACTTCAAGCTTCATTTACCCAGAACAAGTTAATAATTGTCCCACACTATTGAAAAATTGCTCTGATCCTTGGAAATGACTTTATACTATCGAATAATGCTGCTACATCTTGTTTGTACACATTCTAGATCTTCTTGAGGTCTCTATATTGTGTTTTGAAAATACATTTAGATTTTAAAAATAAAATCAGCTTAGATTATTCAAATGCATAATAAAAAATAAGTGACTTATTGCTTCAACTTCTATTATTGCTATACTTAATAAACACAACAAATGGGTGAAAATTGTCTGCATGTAAATGTTGAGCTAACTGTGAAATAAAAAATAAAACACTCTAGTTTGAACAAGAAATAGAACATGGCCAGCATGGCTTTGATGCTTCACCATTGCTATAATGAAGTTCTAATTTCCAAGAATCATCATGAAAATCAACTTATAACATTGTGGATATTTTCTTATAAAGCACTTCTAAGTTAATTATTTTTAGCTCTTTGGAAATCAATATAATCTAAAGGAAAACTTAATTTTTAGTACACATAGGCATAACATGAAATCATGGGGCAGATACATTGTTGTGCTTCTGTCCTTTGGTTAGATACCCAGAAGTGGGGTTCCTGGATCATATGGAGGTGCCATTTCCAGCATTTGAAGAAATCTCCATATTGTTTTCCAGAGATGGCTTCACTAGTTTAAATCCTCACAGTGCATAATGGTTCCCCTTTTTTGTATCCTACATTCATTACTTTACAATGTTTTTATAACAAATCTTTGCACACGTACAGAGTGATTATATTGCTTGGATTTTGATCTGCATTTCTCTAATGATTACTGATGATAAGCACTTTTTTTTTCATTGTGGTCATTTTTTGTTCCCTTCCTATTTCTTCTCCTTCTTCTGCTTTTTTTTAAATATATAATTTTATATTATTTTCTCAATTTACAGATAGGACTCCATCAAAATGTTAGCTGTAATGAATTATACAAGGCATTTTGGTACTGATCTCAAAGGAAAAATTTCAAGTGAATTTTCATTTACTATATTTATTGCAGAATTATTTTTAAACTGATCAGTTTTGTAGTTGCAGGCACTTCATTTCTAAGTGAAATCTGAATTTGAAAAATCACTTAAATACCAAAGCTTACTGAAATGAAGTTGCTTTATTTTTAATTGAAATATAAAGTTACAAAGAGACAGAAAGAGAGAAAATTACAGAGAAAAAATATCTTCCATCTGCTGGTTCTTTCCCCCAAGTAGTCACAACAGTCAGAGCTGAACTGATTTAAAGCCAGAAGGTTTTTCTGGATCTCCTACATAAATGCTTGAACCGAACTATTTAGACCATCCTCCACTGCTTTCTCAGGATTTCAGATTTAGATTTAGGATTTAGAAATAGAGTAGCCAGGACATGAACAGTTGACCATGTAGTATGCTAACACAACATTAGCAAGCACCTACTATGCCACAGCACTACATGAGAATCTGGCATTGCAGGTAATAGTTTAGCTGGTTATGCCACAATAATGACTCCTCTTCAATATTCTTAATTCAGACTCCCATGTACTCTGAAATATATTGTCAAGCTACCAAAGACATCATGGATTCTGTTATCTTTTTTAAATTCATCATCTGTTCTTTTTTTAAATATATATATATATTTATATTTATATTTATATATATATATATTTTATCCAAAGAAAAGAGAGGGAGCAGGTCTTTCGTTTACTGTTCCACTTCATACTCATCAACTACCACTTAGAATGAACTTAGTTATAGCTTTATTTTAACTTTCAGGTTTTAATAATAACCAAAGACACTATTGTACAACTCATACGTAATATTTGGTGGATGGCATTAAAGCAATCCACTCTGATACCTTGTATTTTCCTCTTCATTTCATTGGACTGATGATAGTGACAAAAATAGCATTTTTGTTTGAATTCCTCAGTTAATTTGTTGGATAGTAATAAGGCAATGTAAAGCTTGTGGCAGTAGAATCAATTATATATCAAATTTAAATTCTAACTTTATTTCTAATTATTATTGTACTTTCTTCACTTGCTGTCACATATGCTGTCAAATCTATGAAAACTTTCAAGTAACAAGGTTCTTCAAAGTATTGTTAGATGAAGAGCTAAACATTATATCTAGATCCTCCCAGTTGATTCCAGCTTCTCATTTGATACATGATATACTCCTTAAGCTCCAAATTTTTCTAGAGCTGAGTGGACTGTGTGTGAACTTAAAATTATAACTCCATTACTAAAGTTCAGATTATGTAAGTGCCTTGTATCAAGAAAGATTATAATGACTATCAGGAGCTTCATAGTTAAAAATACTGGAAATACTTTATTATTTCTTTTAAATTAACTCATGGGTCATTGCTGTATTCTTCCTTGATGCATTCACTAATTTAGAAAATATGTTTCAGGTACTACATCTTATATTTCTCTTTAATTTCCAATGAGTTCCTCATGTCTTAAAATTGTCTAAGGCATATCCAGAATCATTTTATAGGTTGTATTATTTAAATCCCAAAGTTCATATCCTGTTGCTCTTCATTCATTTTCCATGGGTCTTTCTTACTATAACGCCAAAATTCTGAGTTTTCAAAATGAATTTAATGAATTACAGTTTTCCTATTTAAATACCTAAACACCAAAACCAGGATCCAAAGAAGTCAAAGGATCATGTTTATTTCTCAAAAATATCTACAGATTAAATTTGAAAATTGGGCCCAGTGCGGTGGCACAAGTGATTAAGGTCCTCGCCTTGCACGCTCGGGATCCCATAGGGGCGCCGGTTCTAATCCTGGCAGCCCCGCTTCCCTTCCAGCTCCCTGCCTGTGGCCCAGGAAAGCAGTCCAGGACGTCCCAAAGCTTTGGGACCCTGCACCCGCGTGGGAGACATGGAAGAGGCTCCCAGCTTCGGATTGGCATAGCATTGGCCGTTGTGCTCACTTGGGGAGTGAATCATCTGACAGAAGATCTTCCTCTCTGTCTCTCCTCTGTGTATATCTGCCTTTCCAATAAAAAAAATAATAAAAATAAATCTTTAAAATTTTTTTTGAAAATTGTATTTGTAAAAAACTTCAATATTATCACAAATTTGGAAACCAAAATAGTTTAATCCTCATTAGGATACATATACTTAGGCACTTTAATTGATATGACTTTGTTGAAAACTCTGATTTTCCAAATAATCCAATATTTCTATTTGTAGTTATAGAGTGTATGTTTGGAAAAATACTAAGTATATCTTACCTGGTAGAATAAAGGCCATAAAACTCAAAAAATGAAGCAGATAGTACAACATCTTCATTCTGTAGACAAGATTAACTGAAAAATATAAAGGAGAATCTGGAACTTTTAAATTAACCCAGGAAGCTTTTGCTATTTATAGTTTTTCTAGTGAAAATGACTCACTATTACCTGGAAATTGTTTTGCCCTTGTGTACCTGGCTCTGCTTCACTAACTACAGCTGTGGGTAGAATTATTGAAATTTAAAACATCTCAAAGTAATTGAGGTTTAGTGGATTCTAGAGAGATTTCATCATGCTTGGAATGGCAAGATTGGCAGCAATTCAGAACTGTTCAAGTACCAACATGACTTGAGCAGTGCCTTTGGAGCATGCCAAATATTGGGGGGACCCTGGGATGGGTGGGAGGTTGAGTGTGGCTTCTTTATCTACCCCCTTACTCCAGACACAGGGGGAAAAGAAAGAGAGAGAGAGAAAGAGAGAGAGATTGATTGCGGGAATAATGTCTTACCCACTTTCCTGTAGCCCTTGACACTTTGTGCCCTAATCAACTATGTAAAAATTGTCAGAATAAAAGTATAATAATAATAATAAAAACATTTTAAAAGTTTATAAGGTGCAACTACTGGTAACAAGGTCTATAGCATGGTTTCCAAATGATGGGACTTCAGTGTAATGTGTATTGCAATCAATTTAGTGGGTCCTGACTGCTATCCTTTTTTTTTTCCTTTTTCCTGAAGAATAAAAATGTATGAGAATGCATGATACCTACAAAAAAAAAGCTATTATACAAGAAAAGGAAATGAAAGGAATTCACATTGGAGTAGAGAAAGTCAAGCTATCTGTTTGCAGATGACAAGATTCTATACAAAGAAGAAATAAAAGATAAATAAACAACTAGAGCTTATATCAGAGTGTAAAAATGTGGCAGAGCATAAAATAAATCAACAGAAATCAAAAGCTCTAGAGTATGCAAACAACTCAAAGGCTGAAAAAGAATAATTAGTATGGTAACTTTCAAAATAACAGAAAATATATTGGAAGTACTTTGGAAAAACTCTAACCTAAGACATGGAAGATATTTACGAGGAAAATTACCAAACATTGAAAAGGAAATAGAAGACTTTCAAATTTGGAAAAAAAGAATGCATAGCATGTTCCAGGACGGGCAGAGCCAATATCATCAAAATGTTGATATTATCAAAAACAATATACAGATTTAATTGATTCCAGTCAAAATATCAAAAACATTCAGCACAGAGCTGGAAAAAAAATATTACAAAAGATCATCTGGAAATACATTAGAGCACAAACAGCTGAAACTATCTTGAGGAATATGAATTTAGTTGTTGAGATCAAAACCTCAGACCATACAAAATATTATAGGGTGGTAATAATCAAAACAGCCAGTTACTGGTACAGAAACAGAAGAAAATGAATAGAGTAGAATAGAAAAACCACAAGTGAGCTCACACATGTACATTTATCTAATTTTCAAGTAGAAAACAGAAATCATCCTAGGTAAGAAAAAAGTTTGTTCAACAAATGCTGTTGAAACAATATTAAAGCAGCCTGTAGAAGTAAGAAACAAGACCCACAGACAAAGATCATATAAAAATGGGAAAAGCATCTAAACCTAGACACAGAAACCATCAAGCCTTCAGAAGAATATGTAGGAAATGTTCTAGAAGATATAGGTACAGGCAGACTCCCTAGAAAAATAATCAAAAACAATGGTATTCAAGACCAAAATAAGCAGATGGACTACATTAAAGTAAGAAGCTTCTGCACAGCAACAGAAACTATCAACAATCTAAGAAAACAGTCAACAGAGTGGAAGAAAATCTTCGCACATTACACAACTGACGGGGGTAATAACTAGACTCTAAAGAGATTCAGAAAAACTCTAACAAAACTAACAAATCAGTCAAGAAATGGGTGAAGAAAATGAAAAGACACTTGTCATGGGAAAACATCCAAATGGCTAACAGACATGAAAAAATGCTCAAGCTCCCTAGCAATAGGAGTAATTCAGATTAAAAAACAAAACAACAACAACAACAAAAAAACACTGAGGCTCCACTTAACTCCAGTGAGAATGGCCCACGTACAGAAAACTTCCAACAACACCTGCTGGTGAGGATATAAGTTTGTGGGTAAAAGGAACCCTACTCAGTGCTGGTGGGCTTACAAGCTGGTACAGCCAATTTTGGAAGTTGGTATACATGATACATGAGAAAGCAACTTGCACTACTGTATTCACTGAAACATGAACTGAATCATCCTAGATTCATCCTAGATGAATCATCCTAGATTCACTGGAATCATGGAATTCCAATTAATGGACACATCCTAGGTGCCCATTGACAGAGGACTGGATAAAGAAACCATGGTATATCTACTCTATGAAATACTATTCAGTTACTAAAAAGAAAGAAACTCTATTACTTGCATTCAAATGGACTCATCTGGACATCATTATACTAAGTGAAATGAGCCTACCAAGAGAGAGAGATATCATATATTTGCCTTAATATACGACATCTTGGATTAAAAATGAGAATAAATTCACATGTAATCCCCAAAACAAATGATGTAAGGGATACCAGACTATCAGGAATCAAGGAAAATCAACAAAATGCATCTCCACTATGGAATGAAAGTACTTCCCCAGTGAAAGTTCTAAGTATAGCTAGAGAACAAAAAAAAAAAAATTGCAATCCTTGCTACTGCCATTTCAATGGTTATGACTCACATAAGGTGCAATACTTTTGAACCATTTCTCTTTAATTGTAATTTTAAGTGGTTGGATTCTTATGATGTTCATCTTTCATATGGATAGTGTGTGTTTTTGATGAAGCATCTGATTTTGTAAATGTCCCTTTCAACACTGTTTTGGTTACATCTCATGAACAATGATGCTCTTATACTTATTGTCAGTTCGTCAGCATCACATGGGTTGCATAATTAACATCAATTTCCATAGGATTTTAAACATTTTTTCCATCACTTTTTTGACACATTAATAATTCTGTAGCATGATGTTTAGCTTCAACTTCATTAAAAGTTTATGTTTTTTCTCTCTGTTGCAGGCAGGGTTTTCTGGCTCTGTATATAAGGGAATCTATAACACAAAACTGGGACTGAAATTTCCAGATGTGGAGATATAGTACAGTATGGCTCTCTGCATCCAGACAAAGATGGACTCCCAGTGAAACAGTTGATCATATCCTGATGGTAGGATGCTGGACTCTGACACTGTCCATGCCTATAATGACAGGAAACACTTCAATGGTTGAATGATGGACTTATGACTGTTCATGAAGGACCACCCATTGTGATACTAGAGGCCATTTCAGTAGGTGCCTGGAGAGAAGTTGAGGAGTGGGAAAGGAAATCCCATAGCCCATAGTGAAACTGTATCATAAAACAATAGAAAATAAATAGACATATGAGATATATTCTACTAAAACCCAATATATACAAATTAGACACAAGGTATATGTTGTGAAAAAATATTTTCAAATTCGGGCCCGGCGCGGTGGCGCAAGTGGTTAAGTCCTCGCCTTGCACGCCCGGGATCCCATATGGGCGCCGGTTCTAATCCCGGCAGCCCCGCTTCCCTTCCAGCTCCCTGCCTGTGGCCCGGGAAAGCAGTCGAGGACGGCCCAAAGCTTTGGGAACCTGCACCCACGTGGGAGACCCGGAAGAGGCTCCTGGCTTTGGATCGGCATAGTATCGGCCCGTTGCGCTCACTTGGGGAGTGAATCATCGGATGGAAGATCTTCCTCTCTGTCTCTCCTCTCTGTATATCCGCCTTTCCAATAAAAAATAATAAAAATAAATCTTTAAAAAAAAAATATTTTCAAATTCTACTTATAGAGGGAGTAAATAACCAGAGAATATAACCAGAGAATATAACCCATAAAGACAAAAATAAGCCAAATGATACAGAAAAGCGTGCTTCAGTCACCATAAAAATGCAAATCCAAATCTTGATATCATTTGTTTATTTTAGAATGGTTATTATACAAATACTCAGGTTGGAAAATGCAGAGGAAAGGAAATCAATGCGCACCGTTTATATAAAAATAAAGTTGAAGAGTCATTGTGAAAAGCAGCATGAAAAAGTTTTCAAAAAACAAAATATACATATATTATATATTCCCAAATTCCCATTATGGAATATATAACATAAGGACATAAAATCACTATATCAAAACTAATTATTTAAAGCATTCTTAAATAGCAAAATACAACAACCAAAAAAGAGCTGGAGTCATCACAGTGTCAAGGTTAAAGATGTAGTAATGTACTACAGTACCATTTATAAATGAAAACATTCGGGTACTGCCACCAAAACAGACATTGAAGATCAATGTAATGTAATTGAAATCCATTAAATGCAGAAGAATTAAGATGGAAGAATAGGGTAAGGACATACTTAAATAGACAGAAAATCATTAGTCATGGTGAAGCAGAGAGGGCAGATTTCAGGAAAACGAAAAGAACAGGCGTACAGCACAGTGGCACCTCGAAACTGACAGACACAGAGAAGCAATGGAGACAACAGAGTGGTGTTTCCATCACCAGATTTCCTATTGGCAGTCAACAAGTGGTAAACTGAGCCCCACTAGTCTTTAAAGCTCCATTGGCAGCGAGATTAGAGGAGGTGAACCCAGGCAAAGATTTGTTTGATTCCAGCAACAGAGACAGAGCAGCAGACCCAAGCAGGTGGTACAAAAACAGGATGGATTTCATAACCCAGACCTTCACAAGTGCCGCATCAGGCACCATTTTGCATAGTGAAGAAAAAACTATGAGACTGGAAGGGCAATAATAAGCTGGGCATACATAGGGAGTGAATTAATTTCTGGCTTAGTGCGTTGCACTAGTCCCACAGGAAAAACAGTTATTCTACAAATTCCACCCAAAACAGGTCCAAGTGGCATGCAGACCAAAGGGCCAGCAATTCCAGAACTCCACCAGTACCATATCAGGTGCTATTATTTTACAGTGCGACAAAGACTGAGAGACTGGTGGGACAACAATGAGTTGCAC